TATATATATATATATATATATATATATATACATTCTAATAATAATAATAATAATATAAATATATAAAGATGTAATAATATATATATATTATTTTAATATAAATCTAAATAATAATGATAATAACGAAAAAATTAATATTCATAATTCAAATATATAATTTATAAATGTAAATTTTTAGACATTTTCGAATGAAATATATTTTGAGAAGCTCGTATTTTTTATTGCAATATCTTCGGCTACCAATCGACCATGGACGACTCTATATATATATATATATATATATATATATATTCTAATAATAATAATATAAATATATAGAGATGTAATAATATATATAATTACATCTCTATATATATATATTTTTTAATATAAATCTAAATAATAATGGTAATAACGAATAAATTAATATTCATAATTCAAATATATAATTTATAAATGTAAATTTTTAGACATTTTCGAATGAAATATATTTTGAGAAGCTCGTATTTTTTATTGCAATATCTTCGGCTACCAATCGACCATGGACGACTCTATATATATATATATATATATATATATTCTAATAATAATAATAATATAAATATATAGAGATGTAATAATATATATAATTACATCTCTATATATTTATATTATTATTTATATATATATATATAGTATTTTAATATAAATCTAAATAATAATGATAATAACGAATAAATTAATATTCATAATTCAAATATATAATTTATAAATGTAAATTTTTAGACATTTCGAACGAAATATATTTTGAGAAGCTCGTGTTCTTTATTGCATCATTGAATTTCTTCTCGTACCTTGTATTTCTTCAATACAACTATCGTATATTTTAGACGGCTAGGTTTAGTTCTAGTGTAAAAATCGTTTCGTAATTAGTTTCTTCTAAACTCGCGATGAAGGCGGTTCCGAGGACAGGAATTCATAAGCCTGTTGACGTTGAAATATCAACGATTTCAATGACGCAAGAAATTTTTTCAATCGCCAAATAAAAACGAGAAATATGCTTGATACTTCATCCACTCGCAGAAGATAATTTCCAAGAAAAAAAAAAAAGTCAATTTATTACGTAATTTACCACGTACGATGAAAAACTATGAGACGGAGGGGGGGGGGGGGGGGGGGGGGGCGAGGATGCTGGCGCGTCCAGTTTGCGCGGAAACTGCTTTAATGAAAGAACGCTGCAGGGTTTCCGTGGAAGCTAACGTCAGAGATGGTGGTGTGTGGACGAAGGATTTTCGCCGTAGTCGAAATGCGTCCTCCGGCAACGAAACTGCGCGGTTAAAATGGCCAGTGAGGAAAAAAAAAAAAAAAAAGAAAGGGAAGAGGGTGCAAAACCGCGCGGACAGTTTCCACGCGTGAAACACGGGGAGCAGCGAGAGTTGGAGGCCCCACTAATGACTCACAATGTGGCTTTCGTCTTCAAACGAAAGAGAAAGAGGAAGCACGGACAAATACCCTCGCCATGGTTTCGCTCTCGTATATAGGAATTAGCGATAATTATACGGGACTAGCACCTGCGCGCCGCCGCAAAAACCTGGAATATCCCGGTGCTTTCTTTCTCTCGCTCTCTCTCTCTCTCTCTATCTATCTATCTATCTATCTATCTATCTTGCTTTCACGAGCAGTTTCAGCGGCGTTGAGTCAGCGACGTTGCTTCGAGGATGACTCAAAGGGACATTGAACGAAGTTACCTAGCCGGTAATCCGGTTGAAATTCAAAGGAGTCGAAGGAAAATTGGAAGAAATGGGTTGTTCCAAGCTAATTCCCGAGACAGACAGATCAAAAGAAAAACTGCCTCGTTTTACACCTCTCTAATGATCCTTCTTTGTGAAAGTTATCGAATAAAGCGAACACCCGGACGAAGACTTCAACGTCGTAGAATTCTGATTTGACGAAATCAAAGACCGAGATAGAATTTCTGTGGTTCGAAGATCTTTCCCCTCTGTTGGGATTCGAATCATCGACTCGTCCGATTGATGTACGCTGTTTATTTTAATTCATTGCGAGGAATTTTTGTTTTCACATCGAGCCATGATATAATTGAGATTTGAGGACGTTTTTATATGATATATTTATGATATAGTTAAGATTGCAAAACGAATAAAACTTCCTTCGATTTTACATCGTCGAGAGAATTTCTTCCGAGTATATCTAGTCGTAAACCATTTGCGAAGTATGAATATCATCCACGACAGGTTTCTTCGAATCTTTCATACGATCGAACGATCGTAAGTAACATTCGAAACGAACGTTATGCATTTTTGATTGAATGTGGATCCCAGTAAAATATTGAGAAATCTCCTCCTAACGGGAGATAATTCTTTAAACCGTTGAGAGTTTAGTTCACATTAGAATATTATACAGATCATCTTACAATCATTAATTGGTTTACTTGTTGCAGATTCAAAAAGGATATAAAAGGATAATTGTTACACGTTCCTCGTAGACTTTTGATAATTTTAAACAGAAAGAGTTAAATCAACCAGGATTCAAACGATTGACTATTAGTTTTTACAGTTCGCAAGCGAAACCACTTTGGAAAACTTTTTGAAACAAAAGAATTGACGATTAATACAATCGAAAGTTACAAAATGGAATGCAAAATTAATTAATTTGCCATTGACGCGTGAAAATTTCAACACAACGACAATTCGACGCGAAACATAACAAAATACAGCGAAACCAACCACGGAGAAACCGAGGCACTGAAGTACTGCTGTACAGGCTGGAAAGAAAAATTTGTCCATGACTAAGTATATAAAGTCGCTGTTAGCACGCGTGCGTCCACAGCGTTAAATAATTAATTTTTCAAGAGAACCATTACTAGGTTACGATCTATGATTCCTCGATGAATAGAATACAATGCAAAGAAAAGAAAAAAATGTTTGTCAAAGTTTGTCCGTGGCTAGGTATATAAAGTCGCTGTTAGCACGCGCGCGTCCACAGCGTTAAATAATTAATTTTTGAAGAGAACTATTATTAAATTACGACCTATGATTCCTCGAAGAATAAAATACAATGCAAAGAAAAGAAAAAAATGTTTGTCAAAGTTTTTGTCCGTGGCTAGGTATGTAAAGTCGCTGTTAGCACGCGCGCGTCCACAGCGTTAAATAATTAATTTTTCAAGAGAACTATTACTAGGTTACGACCTATGATTCCTCGATGAATAGAATACAATGCAAAGAAAAGAAAAAAATGTTTGTCAAAGTTTGTCCGCTAGGTATATAAAGTCGCTGTTAGCACGCGC